GGAGGGAGGGAGGGAGGGAGGGAGGGAGGGAGGAAGGGAAGGAGGAAGGAAGGAAGGAAGGAAGGAAGGAAGGAAGGAAGGAAGGAAGGAAGGAAGGAAGGAAGGAAATCTGCCTATCTCCACCTCCCCAGCACTGGATTACAGATGTGTTCCACCACACCACCACACCCAGCTGTTCACCACTGGTGCTGCAGCTGTGAACTCAGGTCCTCACGCTGCCATGGTTTAGATTGTTGTTGTTTGCCTTTTGTAGCTCTTTAGATAGTCTAGGTCTTAACTTCCTGTCTGACGAATAGTTGACAAAGAGTTCCTCCGTCCTGTCTCTTCACTCTAGAAGTTTTGGTAGAGGTTTTTGATTCCATGTGACCCCACCTGTCATGTCCTGGAGGGATTTCCTGGAGCGCACTGCCACCCTTTCAGGAAGTCCCTGCATGCACCGATATCTGGAAAGGCTCTCACTGGTTTCTTCTAGCAGTTCCAGGGCTTTATGTCTTATATTTAGATCTTTGATCTGGGGCTAGAGAGATGATTCAGTAGTTAAGAGTACTTGCTGCTCTGGCAGAGGACCCAGGTTCAATTCCCAGCAACCTCATGCCAGCTCCCCCCAGTTATCACTAACTCCATTCCGGGAGATCCAAAGACTTCCTCTGCACAAACATATGCGGGCAAAACAGTCATACACATGAAATAGTTATAGTAAAAGATTGTTTTAAAATAAGAGAGAACTGTGATCATTTTGAATTAATTTTTTTGTGCAAGATTAGAGGTGTACATGTAATTTCATTCTTCTGTGGAAATTCTGTTTTTTCAGCACTATTTGTTGAAGATGTTATCTCTTCCCCAATGTATGTTTTGAATGTCTTTGTAAAAAACTAGGTGGAATTTATATCTGGTCCTCTATTCTTTTCCATTGGTCTACGTCTCTCCTTTTGTATTGATACCATGCTGTGTTTGTCGATATGGCTCCATAGTATAAGTTGAGGTCGGGTGTTACACTTTCAGCATCGGTCTTTCTGCTTGTTATTCAGGGTCTTTTGAGTTTCCATGTGAGGTTTAAAATTTTTCTCTAGTTCTGTGAAGCATATCTTTGGAATCTAATGGGATTACATTCAATCTGTGTACCATTTGTGGTAATATAGTCATTTTCACAATATTAATTCTTCACCTCCGTGACCATAGGACATCTTCCCATCTTCTAATTTCTTTCACCTCCTTGGTTAAGTAAAGTGTCCATGGCTGGTCTAAAACCCATGTAGACCAGGCTACATTTGAATTTAAAGAGATCTGCTTGCTCTGCCTCCACAGTGCTGAGATTAAAGGTATGTGTCGCCATGTCTCATTTGGTGACTTTTTTTGTCTCAATGGTCTTTTGAAGCTGTTATGAATAGGATCCTTTTCTACTTTTCTTCTCAATAAGTTTGTTATTAGTTTATAGAAATGCCTCTGTGTTCCACATGTTGATTTTGTATCCTGCACCTTTGTTGAATTGTTTATCAGATCTAAGGATGATGGCAAAGTCTTTCAGGTCTTTTCAATGTAGGATCATGTCTTCTGAAATAGAGAAAATTTCACTTCTGTATTTTCTATTTGTGTTGTTTTTCTTCTTTATCCTGATTTACTGTTCTGACTATGACTTTAAAGACTATGTTGGATAAAGGTGGGTAGACTGGTCACCCTATCTCATTAGAGGTGGTAGAAGAAATGTTTTCAGGTTTTCTCCATTTAGTATAAGGTTGGCTATAGGTTTGATATATATTCTTTTATTGTGTTGAGATACGAAACCTCATTTCTTTCTTTTTCAAATCAGTTTTTCAAAGCATTTTCTTGTTATTTTATTATGAAAATGTCAAGTGAAGACACAGTGAACAATATAAAATATCCATGTCTTCATCACCCATCTTGAATAGGGATCAGATTTTGACATTTTGCCTATCCTGTCTTACCCCAGATCTCTTCAGGGTTTAGTTTATTATTATCATTATTTGTTTCCATTTGTGTTGAGATAGGGTCTCACTTTATATACCAGACTGTGGTCAGAATCACAGCAGCCCTCCTGCCTTGGCTCTTAGAGTATTTTAAATGGGTATTTTCTGAACCCACAGTGGGTATATTCTATGGTCTCAAAGACAGTCCCTCCCTCACTTACATAAAGCAAATTTAAGAACCAGAACCTGTTCAATATTCCAGATATACAAAGGACAAGAAGATGCAGCAACCACACACACACACACACACACACACACACACACACACACAGGTAGTTTACCATATCATGGGGCCCTGGTTGGACCTTGGACCTACTCAGTATTGTCCTCCTTAGGCACAGGAGCACGGAAGAGCTGAGAGGATAGGTCGGGTCATCTTGGCAACACAGACAGTTGGGGAAAGGGCTGCAGGGAGGAAGAATCTTCTGAGGATAGGCGATAGGTACAATTAATAAGTGGGCTAGGAGACTATTGTGTTCCCGGAACTGGAGCTGTATTTCCCCAGGATCCTGCGTGTCTGTGGGGGAGGGGCAGCAGTCAGGTGTAGGGAGTGATGGCAACCAGGCCAGGAAGGGGCTTTGAACACTCCACAGTGGGGGATAGTTTAAGTCACAGGAGTGTAAATTAGAAGCTAATGTGGCTTTAAAAGAAAAGCATCCAGCAGTCGTGTGGTTACAGATTGAAAATGAGGCCCTGGAGAGAAAGAGGAGGCCCGGATCTGGAGCAGAAATACGAGGCAAGAAACGATGGGGCAGAAGCATAAGCAAGCCGAGGAAATGAAGGGAGAAGAGAAGGTCATGGGCTGTGAGGAGAGTGAGTGGTCCAGAGTGATTCCAGGGGCTCGGCCAGGGCAGCTGCAGGGCGATGAGACTAAAGCTTTGGAATCACTTAGATCACAGGAGTTCCTCCAGGTATTCACGTGCCACTCTGAGTATGGAAATGTGCTTTGAGGGGATTTTGCCATTGTACAACATCATAGATGAAACCAACACTAACCTAGTGGAGATCAGTCACTCCGTATGACCTCTTGATGCAATCATGTGATGCAGTGTGCCCAGCATGAGAGGTCACAACCTGCCTGAGGCAGGAGGATCACCATGAGTTCAAGGCCAGATTAGGTTACAGAGTGAGTTTAAGACCAACGCTGCCTACCAGTCCTGTGTGACCCTGTCTCAAAACAAACAACAGCAACAACCAAAGATCTGGGGATATAGCCTAGTGCTAGCTTCCTGGCCTATAGGAGGCCCTAGGTTTAATCACTAGCACCACAAAATAGATACATAAGTGAATAAAATAAAGGAATGGGCCAAAGGAAGTGCTCATTTGAAAGACAGACAGACAGAACGAAAGAGGCTAGCCAACATCAATCTCTAGCCTCCACATGTATAAATGCAGGCACACTCACACAGGTGTTCCCACACGCAAACATGAATATACCTATGGACGCATACAAAACAATTTACACAAACAATATGTCATCAACTCTGTCATTGTTTTAAAACACATCATTTTCGGTATCACCAATTTCATCAAGGACTTCAGAAACTCAAAATTTAAAATGTTCCACTTAGTATCGAAGAAATTCATCATGGACCAAATTGCACCAGAGAGCAGGTGCAAACTGCAGACATACCCACTGGGAGTGTTTACAGAAGTACTTCTGGTTCACATTTGCGTCTGACTTCTGGTCACAGCCAGCACGGTGCTGTTCCCATCCAGTCCCATTCCAGGGCAACCCACCCAGTGAAGCCTCGAACCCCGTGTTTGAAGAGGGAAGGGGTGTAAAAAAACTTCACAGTGAGGGTGTTGAAACTCTAAGAGGTAAGGACACCATGTGGCAAATAGTAAGCTCAGCCTCCCTACTTCCCTGTGAGTACTGCTTGGTGTGCATAGGGTGGCTCTCGATGCCGATGGAGGTCTAGGTGCTAGGGTCATGCCATGACAGTGGCTGCGCAAACAGGACAACTTACCGTGAATTCTGACCTCTAGCCTCTGTGGTTTCCCTGTTTGTCGCGGGGCTGGGTGACCTGAATCTCATTCTAAAACCCAGGGAAGGAAAATCTATGTGGAGTGGTCATGAGGATGATGCCAAAAATCTCTTATGACTTCATATTGTTTACTTTCTGTTGCCATGGTAAAATGCCAGGACCAAATGCAGCTAATAGAAGAAGGAGTTGATTTGGGCTGACGGCTGCAGAGGAAGGGTCCACAATGGCGAGGTGCACGGCAGCAGACAGTTAAAGCAGGGGGCTGGCTAATCACACTTTATCAAGTCACAGAAAAAAGACAATGAATAAGAGGCACAAGTAGGCTACAAACCCTCAAAGCCTACACTCAGTGACGTTCTCCCTCTATCAAGGTTACATCTCCTAAGAGTTTGATAATCTAAGTGCCACCAACTGGGAATCAAGTGTTGACCGAATTTCTGGTGGACATTTATCATTCAGACCACAAAACCTCTTGGGTTTTGCTTTCAAAACAGGGTCTCGAGTAGCCAAGGCTGGCCTTGAACTTGCTAGATTAGAAAGCAGACGGTGACCTTGAGCTTCTGATCCTCCTGCCTCCACCTTCCAGGTACAGGGTTATATAAAGTCCTAAGGGAGGGGAGAGATGTGCTTTTCAAAACATAAATTGCAAACTGGGCATGGTGTCACAGCTGTGTAATTCTAAGGCCGAGTCAGGAGAATTGCCTCAAGTTCAAATCTCTGGTCTTCATAGTGAGTTCTAAACCAGTCTGAACTACAGAGTAAAACCTCATTTCAAACAAAGAAACAAAAATTAATACTTGAAAAACAAAGGAGACGGGGAAGGGTGTGGGGGTCTTTAGAAAGATGTCATGGTCTTCCTTGGGGACCTCTTTATTTTGGGTGCATGGCTTGATGGTTTGCCTGAATTTTTAAGGATAGACATAGGAAACAGGGAAGGTTTGCCTTTTTGCTCCATGTACACAATTCAAACAGCCATGAAATAATCACAGAAATTCTTAATTTGAAAAAACAAAGCAAAATAAACAAACAACAAGAAAATCTCTTAAGCTGAAATCATAGGCTCTGGAGGTTGGAAGAGCTGCCTTTAATCATAATTTTGCTATACTTGTGAAAGCAGGAGGTTTGGGACCATTCCTGATTCGGCAGCAGCACCTTCTGGGAGTTTGTTTAAAATTCAAAGTCTGAGTCCTCACCCCAGACCTGAGTATAAATCTGCCATCTCCAAGAGTCTCAGGCACCACATACACATTAAAATTTGCTAAACCTTGTGTAAATGGAGACTGCACGTCGGTTTCCAGGCCGCCCAGACTCAAATAATCACACAGAAACTATATTTATTACAACACTGTTTGGCCTATTAGCTCAGGATTCTTATTAATTAACTCTTACATCTTAAATTAACCTGTTTCTATTAATCTGTGTATTGTCACAAGGTTGTGGTTTACCGGTAAGGTTTCCATGTCCATCTCCTTCGGCAGCTACATGGCATCTCCCTTACTCTGCCTATTCTCTCTATATATCTCTGTTCAGATTTCCCACTTGGTTATATTCTACCCTGCCATAGGCCAAAGCATCTTCTTTATTAACCAATGGTAATAAACATATTTATAGCATACAGAGGGGAATTCCACATCAGCCCTGATCTATGAATTTGTTTCCTTGTTGGTGATGGTATATTCCCCTGGGTTGTAGTAAAGAGATAATATAGTACTCAAAAACACTTTAAACAGCACAGTATAGTCCAAACCCAGAATGTCATGTCTTTCATTGTGAAGGTCAAGGCTGGAAATTCACTTAATACACAAATGTCTCTTAACAATAAACACTGTGATGGGTTTTTTTTCTGATCTTTTCTCACAATACTTTTATTATTAATTTTCTAGATTATGACCTTTCAAAGATGAGGGACTTTATCAACCACCAAGCTGATGCTTACGTGGAGAAAGGCATCCTCGATAAGGAAGAAGCCAATGCCATCAAGCGAATCTACAGCAGCCTGTGAAAATGGCAGGCAACCTGAGTCTATCAACTGTTCCAGCAAAAACAATATAGCTTAAAAACTAATTTGGCAGTTAAAGATTTACCCTCCCAGGAGTATTAGAATGTGCTGAATTTACAGTAGTTAATCCCTTAGAAATGGGTAAAATAGAGATCTCTTGCCATAAATATCTTATGAAAAGTAATGCGTACGTAAGCTGAGGTTTTTGTATATAGAGTCCGTATTTGCTCTTGGATTTACATTTTATAGTCAGAGATGTGCTGCTCTGGAAAAGCCTCGAAAGGGTTGAACTAAGTCTGAACCTTCTTCCCACTGTCTTATGCTCCCTGAAGACCTGAGAAGTCCTGTTTCAAGGCATGCTGGACACCTGAGCCCTTTGTCGGGTTTTGTTACACGATGCTTCCGCTAGGAGTTCTCTGTTGGGCATTGGAATAAACCCACATTTCTTCATAGCCTTGATGCGCTGAGAAGCAGCAGCTTCTTCTTTAAAGAAAAAAAAAAGGTTTTAATTGAAATAGAAGTATATCATTTTTCCTCCCTCCCTTTCCTCTCTCTAGCCCAGTGGTTCTCAGTCCTCCTGGTGCTGTGACCTTTAACACAGTTACTCATGTTGTGGTGACCTCCAACCACAAAATTATTTTCGTTACTACTACATAGCTACGATCTTGCTACTGTCGTGAGTCGTAATGTAAATATCTGTTCTCCTACTGGTCTTAGGTGAGCCCTGTGAAAGGGTTGTTTGACCCCCCCCAAAGAGGTCAAGACCCACAGATGGAGAACATCCCTCCCAGCTACTCTCCTTCCAGTCCCTTCTGTGTTCCCCATACACACAAACAACAAAAACAGCTGCTTTATGGACTGTCCTTTTTAATCAACTCTGTGTTAGACCCAATGACACAAAAGGGAGGTTAAAATGGGTACAAGAGTCACTGAGTAGAGCGATGGGAATATAGCAGTGACAGAATGCTTGCATAAAGGCCTGGGTTTAGTTCTCAGCACCACACACACAAACACACACACACACACACACACACACACACACACATAAATGCAAACCTTTATGAACACATATATGCATACAGTCACACACATAAACACATAAATGACATGCACATACAAACACAAAATTGAATTTAATCAACAATTTACTCCCTACTTAATATTTCCCTTTTTTTTTTTTTTACTTTATTGAGGTTTCAGACACTTATCGCTCACTCAACAGAGATAAAGATTTATATAGTCAAGAAGCCCAATGAGGTCAAACACTGTTCAAAAGCAAAGTCAATATTTATGCTCCATTTCAGTCACCTAAACTGGATTTGATGCAAGCCATGTTATCTCACCAGAGAGCAAAGGATCAGTCAGCGTGACAGAAAAAGAGGTAAATATCACCAGAAGAAAAAGGTTATGAATTTTAGGTTACTGCCACTTGTTCGTTTGCCACCACAAGCACGAGACTGGAAACAACCATACAACCCAATAGTCCTCCCTGAATGCCAGTGGTCCTCCCTGGACGCTGATGCTCCCAAATCAAAGGTGGCATTGGAGTACGTTACTCAGTGTAAAATAATTGCACACATAGTTATATATGCTTACCTGAAACCATAAACATAACAAGCTTTGTGGATTGGCTGTCCTTGCTTCCGGCGACTTGCTGGTGCCTACCCTGCTGTTCTGAAGCCACGCCCATACACACAGTGACAGTGGGTTTTCACACATAGAAGATAGTTCTTCCTGGAGAGCCACAGAGGCAAACAAAACACAAAGCCTGCCAGGAACACAAACTAATCTCTCCTCATGTTCTAGAGAAGCCAGTACCCAGTCGCAGGTGAATGAGGAGACAGAGTTCGAACTGCCTTAGCCCAAACTGCATTTCCCAAAGCACCTTGACTCAACTGTTTCATGAATCATCTGTGCTGACTGACTCTGCGTTAGCTGTGCTGCACGTCAGTTTCTACCTCAGACAGAAAACGGCTCAGGCTGGATCATCTTCTTCTCACCTTTCTAAAGTGTACCTAACTGTCTATGCAGTGTTTTTTTTTTTAAAGCAATAAGTTTGTTTCTTTATTTTATTGTGGTCTCCATTAGTGCCTCTTGGTAACCAGGACAGAAGGGACACACTTGATCCTATTTTTATAAACACGAAGATTCGTTCACAAAGGGACCAAGGCCACTGGGTAAGCTCAAGTTCATGAGGTTAACTGATGATGACTCTGGGGCAGAAGCAAGGTCCGAGAGTCTAGGTCCTGTCTACAGTGACTCCATGACAAGGTGCTTCAGTGCTCTATCCATGAGGCAGAAGCAGGAGGGACTCAAGTTTGAGGCAAAACTGAGCTACACAGCAAGACTCTGTCACAGAAGAAAAACAAAATGCAAAGATCAGCTTGCAGTCCCACTCTGAGAAGGTGAAGCAGGAGGATTGGGAATTAAAGGTTGCCTGGGATACCTTGACTTCCGGTTCAGGTAGCCTAACCTGGCATGGCAAACCTTAGGAGGCATAAGCAGGACTGCTGTGCATTTGAAGCCAGGCAGGGCTAATAGTAAGTCAGCCTGGGGTAGATAACAGGATCCCGTCAGAACAAACTAACAAAAAAAAAATCCCTCTAGTACAGTTAAACTGCGACTACAAGATTACAGAAAGTTTGAAGAGATATTTTAGCTAGAAATTGCTGACAGGAAAACATAAAACATTGAGAAAAAAATATTGAGATATATTTCAGCCTATGGTCATAATTTCAAATTTGAGCTTCTGTGATATCATCAATCTTTGCCAAATTAAATACTTCTTTGTTGATCCTACTTTTTATTATTCCTATAACCACAGTAGCTTGCTTGGGCCTCTTGTTTTCCTTTTTTGTTTTATCCATTTAAACCTCTACAACATGGGTTGGAGAGATGGCACTGGATACTCTTCCAGAGGTCCTGAGTTCAATTCCCAGCAACCACATGGTGGCTCACAACCTGGTGTGCAGGTATACATATAGAGTACTCATCTACATAAAATATAAAGAAAGTTTAAAAAAAGAAAGAAAAACCTCCACAACTCAAGTAGTAACCATAAAAAAAGTACGATCAAGAGAATACCCCAATTTCCAAGCCTGGGGAGCTGGGCTCATGTGTAAGCATGAGGAATTGAGTTCAGATCTCTTGCACACATGTAAAGGACATGGGGGATGAAGAGTGTCTCAGTGGATAAATCTCTTGCCAAGCAAGACCAAGGTTCAGATCCCCAAAACCCACATGAAAGCCGAGCAGGTAAGCTGTCCACCTGTAATCCCAGCAATCGTGCTGCAGAGACAGCAATACCTGGGGCAAACCGGACAGCGAGACTAAGCTGGAACTGCGGAGTTCCAGGTTCAGAGAGAAAACCTGAGTCAGTAAGTAAAATGGAGAGAGGAAGATACCTAATGTCAGCTTCTGGGCACACACAGAGGGGGGGGGGGGGGGGGAGGGGGAGGGAAGGGGGGGGGGAGGGAGGGAGGGAGGGAGGGAGAGAGAGAGAGAAAACACCCTATTTCAAAGGTGCTACAAGAAACAAAAACCAAAACACAAAGGATTATGTTAAGTGAGAGACAAACAAATCAGCAAGACAAAACAGCTTCCACTTCCCATCATGGCACCTACTGGCCCTCCCAAGGCTGTGTCTGTGATTATGGTGGTTTGTGTCCCGCGCTACCGTCTCGCCAGCAAGAACGACGCGGGACACTTAGGATCCTTCTGCAGAAAAGCTTTAATGCGTCTTGAGAGGGAGAGCATAAGCTTACATGGCGGAGACCCAGAATGAGGGGAACCCGCCCTTATAAAGGAAACAGTCCTCGCTTCTGACGTGTCACTCTTGGATTGGTCCGCTGCCCATTATCCCAGATGATGCCTCGGAAGTAGGCAGGGATGCAGCAGTAGTAAGTTACCAAGCACATGCGCTGGGATTAAAGGCGTGTGCTACAACACCTTGAACTCACAGAGATCTGCCTGTCTCTGCCTCCCAGGCATTGGGACCAAAGGCGTGTACCACCACACCTTGAGGTCACAGAGGTCAATCTCTACCTTTGTCCCTTGAAGCAATGGAGAATGTGGTTGCGGCCCTCCACAGGTTTGAATAAGAATGACCCCCCAGAGGCTCATATATGTGAATCTGTGGTCACCAGATGGTGGAACTGTTGGAGGAGGATTAGAAAGGTGTGGAGAGGTGTGTCACTTAGGGGATGGGGGAGTTCTAAGGTTCCAGAAGCCCAGGCAATTCCCAGTTAGTTCACTCTGCTTCACGTTTGTGGGTCAACATGTAAGCTCTCAGCACTGGCTTGGCACCCACACTTGCCTGCCTGGCTGCTCCCATGTTCCCCATCATAATGGTCATGGACTCACCATCTCAAACTGCAAGCCCCCAAAAGCTCTTTTTTCTAGAAGTTGTCTTGGTCACGACTTCTAAGCACAGTCACTGGAAAGTAACTATAACAATGACCTGGTAATATAGGCTCTGTTCCACTAACACCCCAGGGCACCTGCTCCTGATGAGCAAAAGACAAAGGAGCAAAACAGGGAGGAAAAGGTAACAGAGAAGAAGAAAGGCAATGAAAACAGGAAAACAAAAGACCCTTTTACTCCACAGAAAACAGGCTCTTCGAGGGATGTTGGGGAGGGTAACTATGGGAATTTCTGCTGAACCCTAAAGACTTATTTAACCTAGTTAAACATATTTAAACTAGTAATTGAGCAGATGTCAAGACTAAAAATATATCAGTTGTCAATAGTATATAGCTTAAAGTTTGCTGCTATAATCTATACACATAATAAAGGCAAGATGAATTAAATGAAGCAAAAAAACCTAACTTTTATTTCGAATGAGCAGTGCTGATACACTGTAAAGTGCAGTGTCTGAAGAGACACACATAAAAGCTAAACAAGATCCAGTGTGTCTCATACTGGTGTAGATGTGTGTGTCCTTCTGAAGATAGAAACAACTGGATCAGAAGTTCAAGGTCATTCTCAGGTACACAATGAGTCCAAGATCAGCCTGGACTACAGGAATCCTTATCTTTTGAACAACAACAACAACAAAAAAAAGATCTTTTGAACAAAAAACAAACAAAACAAAAATCAACTTTATTTCTTCATTTTGAAAAAGAAAAGAAGGCTTCTATGTGAAAACATAGTTTATTTTCTCACCCAGACATTTGTATTTTACTTTTACAAAATAGCAGACAAAATTTGGTTCTTTACAGTAGTACAGAATATGTGATACTGAAATATATACTATAGCACTTGAGTTATAAACACACAGCAAATGCATTATCACTTTACAGCCACCAAGTCTTCCATGTATTTAGGATCTCATCAGGAAATAAACATTGCTTTTGGCTTAAATATATAAATAGTCTCTGATGCTCTTTGTAGCCACAAAAGCCAGTCTAAAACTACCACCATCTACCAAGTGATGGGCTTTAGAATACAGTTTTGCTATCATGCCATAATAAGACTTAACTACAGGAAGCCAGAGGGATTGATCGCTTCAGCGCAGCTGCGGTTGCTCTACTGTGGCTCGAAGGTGCGCACTATGGGAGTCCAGAGGCAGCATTGCCTCTGAAACCCCAGCCGGTGGATTCTTTAGGGTCCAGCCATGTTGTGATCTGGGTCCGCCAGTCACTAACTATGATAGAGGGAAGCGGCATAGGGGCTCTCTTCATCCCTGAAAAAGTGAAATACGGCAGAAATCAGTGTTTATAACTATTCAGAAACACACACATACGACTTACTATCATTTGCCAAAGAGGAGCAGAGCTATACCCACAAAACGTAGTGTGTGCCATGGAAGCCAGGGACAGTCAAACTTGCTCAGGTGAACCTTCTTCCCTCTTCTAAGGGACACTCAGTTATTAGAATAAACAGTAGCATTTGCTTACTTAGCTTACATAAAATTTAAATGCATTGAACATACACTAAATTATATTTGTTTTGTTGTCTATATTCCTCTTCTTTCTCAAAAGAATTTAAAAGCCAGGAGTGGTGGCTCATGCCAGTTGGGAGACTGCAGCAAAGGACTGACAAGACTTTGAGGCCAGCTGAACTACACTGAGACGTTGCATTTATTCAAAAATAAATGAATAAATAAAAGAGGATTCGAGATCTATACAAAAATAGTATATATTATCAACGACAAATTTTAAAACGAGGACAAAGAAATCAATATATTAACCATTAAAAAAAAAAACCAAAGTGGTCGACCCTGATGAGGGAAGTCCTTCTGTATATGTGTTGCTTTTATTGGTTAATGAAAAAGAAACTAGGGCAGAACAGAGCTGGGGGCGGGAGGTGGAGTCAAAGAGATGCCATGGAGCCGTCAGAGGAGAAAGATGCAAGGCACAAACCAGAACCTTGCTGGTAGGCCATGAACCTTGTGGTAAAATATAAAATAATGGAAATGGATTAAATTAAGATGTAAGAGCTAGCCAATAAGAATCTAGAGCTAGTAAGTCAAGCAGTAATTTAATTAATACAGTTTCTGTGTGATTATTTTGGGAGTCTGATCAGCAGGGAAACGAACAAACAGCCTCCTACTACAAGACCCTTCACATCATTTTTATTACCAAAAAAAAAAAAAAACAGCAAACAAGAAAAAAAGGAACCAGTAGTTTATGTCCCATCATGAAGTTATATGGGAAGAAGGACACCAATTACAGAAGGGGAGGGTTGCCCAAGGGTCAAATTTCAAATTACACAAGGAACCTTGGGATCCTAGTCAACAGGAGCAGTATCTTGAGAAGGGTTCTAAGAATCGGTATTTTGTGTCTTCTCTAGGGCGCTGATTCTCTCGAAGGTCTCATGACCTGTTCTAGCTCCAGCTGCGACCACCAACTGCTAGCTGGGCAAAGGAGCAAACTTCTTATGCTAAATAACAGCAACAGCAGCAGGACGACAGACAGCCCTGCAACAGGGAGCAGCACCGCTTGGATTTCATAGATTACAGATGGCTTTCTAGGGCTGAGGAGATGGAGGTCGTCCACAAAGAACTTGCTGCACAAGCCTGAGGACCTGGGTTCAATCCCCAGAACCCACATAAAATGCTAGGCATGGTAGCAAACCCATAATAATCCTAGTGCTGGGAGGCCAAGGCCAGGGAGATTCCCCAAACAACCAACTTAGCCTACTTAGCCAGTTTCAAAAGACTTGGTCCCAAAATTACAAGGTAGATACTGGGTGGTGGCAGTGCCCGTTTTTAATCCCAGCACTTGGGAGGCAGAGGCAGGTGGATCTCTGTGAGTTCGAGGTCAGCCTAGTCAACAGAGTGAGTTTCAGGACAGCCAAAGCTATACAAAGAAATACTGTCTCAAAAAAAAAAAAAAAAGGACATCCAAAGTTGACCTCTGACCACCGCACTCCTGTGCTTACACATACCTGCACAATTGTGCACCTGTGTGTACACACACACACATTTTCTACAATTAAGATAGATTTCAAACAAGAACATTATAAGAGTATTTTGGTCCAAACTCTGACACCTATCCCAGAAACCGTCACCTGCTCTCTTCTTTGAGTTTTCTGGCTGCCTGTGTTGATAGCTTAATCTGCAAATCAAGTCTCTGAAGGAAATCTCTGGCAGACACTTCCTCGGGCTGCACAGGCTCGGGATCTGGATCCTGAGGACTGGGAGGGGGCAGTTCTTCCCCAGCCACCACAGGCTCCTCTTCAGGACAAAAGCTGCTATCAACAGTTTCCTTTTCTGGAGAATCAATGGAGTTAAGTCCGTTAAAGAGCAAAGGCTTCTCTGATAGAATTGGGATGCTCAGAGTCTTCTTCAGAAATATACAGTCATTGGTAAACAGTTTGTTGGCCCGTTTAATCTGTTCCATCTAAAACACACACAAAAACAAGAAACAAAGAGTTACATACAACCAAGTATGAGTTGAGATTACTATAAACACGGGCTGTGCATATTCATGAACAATTGTGTGCAGTGCTGTGCAGGGCGACTTGACATGAGCTGGAGTCATTTGGGAAAAGGGCCTCTCAACTGAGAAAATGTTTCCATAAAATGGTCCTGTAGACAGTCTATAGTGCATTTTCTTAATTAGCGATTGATGTAGGTGGACACATCCAACAGGGGTAGTACCAGCCCTGGGCAGGTGGTCCTGGGTGATGAAAGAAAGCGAACTGAGGAAGCCATGAGGAACAAGCCAGTGAGCAGCACTCTCCATGGTATCTGAATCTGTTCCTGCCTCGTGGCTCCTGCCTTAAGCTCCCAGCCTGACTTCCTTTGATGACAGAGCTCAAACTGAAGTAGACCCTGCCCCCACCAAGTTGCTTTTGATCATGGTGTTTATTACAGCAATAAAAAACTCTAAGGCAAATACTTTCTCTGCATTCGAGGGTCTTTTCCTCTCAGATAACTCCTGGTATTTCAAAAATAACACGAAAGTCATTTCCTCCTATACAAACAGATTTATTTACTTGTTTGTTTTGTTGGGTACATTCTCGTTGTTTCATTGGGTGTTTGTTTTGGCGGGGTGTTTGTTTGTTTGAGACTGGATCTCATAGCACCATGGTTGGCCTTGAACTCACTATGTAGCTGAGCATGACTCTGAATTTCGGGTTCTGTTCCCACCTCCCTAGTGCTAACATTATGTGACACAGACCTGGTTTATATGTTGCCAGGGATCAAATCTTGAGCTTCATGAATGCTAGGCAAGCGATCTGCCCACTGAGCTACATCCCCAGCCCTCTGCAGGCAGCTTCTAACATACACTGTTTCCTCTATAAGGCACCTTTACTATCAATGGTTCTTAATCACTGAAGTATAAAGATATACACGTTTTCTATTATTTTGCATGTATGGGTGCTGTGGGACAATGGTCTGTATTCTGTCAATTATATTTTAAATAAAAGCTGATTGGCCAATAGCCAGGAAGGAAGTAGAGGTGGGACAACCAGACAGGAAGTAGAGGCAGGTCAATGAGAACAGGAGAATTCTGGGAAGAGGAAAGTTTGGTGTGCAGTCATGACCCAGCCACAGAAGAAGCAAGATGTGACTGCCTCACTGAAAAAGGTACCACGCCATGTGGCTAACATAGATAAGAATAATGGGCTAATATAAGTTATAAGAGTTAATACGAAGCCTGAGCTAATGGGCCAATCCGTTTATAACTAATGTAGACCTCTGTGTGATTTCTTTGGGACTTAACGACTATGGGAACTGGGCAGGACAGAAATTTCAGACAACATATGGGTATGTGTGTGTGTGTGTGTGTGTGTGTGTGTGTGTATGCCTATGTACCACATGCACACAGTTCCCTTGGAGGCCAGAAGAGGGCACGAGATCCTGTGAAACTACTATTACAAAAGGTTGTGAGCCACCATGTGGGTGCTAGGACTAAAACCAAGGTCCTCTGGGAAAGCAGGAAGTGATCTTAACTGCTGAGTCATCTCTCCAACCCCTTTAGCACTTACTTAATTCTTATTTGAACATTTCTGTTATCTGGCTTCTTAAAAAAGTCTTTCTATTGCTACACTCTTACTTGTAGAGGGATCCCTATATCTCTGGAACTCTGCTGGGTGAACTAATGAACCCAGGAAGTGGTAGAGACACGTGTATGAGCAAAATGTCAAAGAAAGCTGTAGGCTGGGGCTACAGCCACAGAGAAGGCCTCTCAAAGAAGGAGGGGTTCTGGTTTTGATCCTTTTGACTACAATCGGGCCTTAAAGAATTAGTACCTGGGGACCAGGTAAGAAAAGGAGATAAGGGACATTTTACAAATAGTTTGTCATTCTTTTGCCCTACAGAGTGCAAATAATTACTTTACAAATAAAAGAAACAGGATTCACCAAGACTATGCACATGTGGGTGGCAGGTGAAGAATTGGATGCAGGTTTTTATTACCTCCGACACTCACAGCCTATGGAGGCCTTCTCCACCCCCACGGAGCTGGGAAAGGGGCGAAATGGAGACTAGAATATGTGTGTGTGTGTGTGTGTGTGTGTGTGTGTATAATGTGTACGTATGTTTGTGTGTGTGTGTGTGTGTGTGTATCGTAACCCTCACAACGGCTCTGCAGTCTAGCTCTCCTGTTCCCCACAACAGCTCTGCAATCTAACTCTCTTTACCAATGAGGGGATGAGGGAAAGTTTGTGGCCTAAGTCCACAGCGCTGGTGAGCACAGAGAGGGAGGGCTCATACTAACTGGTTCTCAGTTCAGTCAAGAACATCTTTTGCTACCTCCTCTGTTACAGTATGTCTATGCTTCCCCATACTAGCCTGGGAACTTGCACCAAGGCAGGCACCTCACAGACACTGCAGCAGTTCACTTACACACAACTCATCTGGTGGGACTGTGAAACAGCCCGGCAGGCTCAGTTCAGATCTCTCTCTGCCAATTTGAACTGCATGTGGGACTCACCTCACACACTTGTAAAACAGATGCTGTCTGCAAAATGGGGCTACAAGGGTTAAATGAATTTATAGTAATATATATACATATAATGTTTATAGATAAAGAGTGTGTGTGTGTGTGTGTGTGAGAGAGAGAGAGAGAGAGAGAGAAAGAGAGATTGATGGAAAGTATGGAAAATATTATCACCCACTGTTAGGTACTTTATTCATATCTATGCACATACATATTATATATGTATGTATGCATACCTACCCATCTGTTTATCTACTCTCTACCCAAACTATCCATGCAAATACGAACAACTCAGGCACAAAGAGATGATTGGTTTAACAAGCACATACAGCTATATAAAGGTCTGATTTGGAATTTCTGTCTGACTCAAATCTGGAATCAAATTTTGGAAGCCTTTAAGGTGACTTTGAGCAAAAAAAAAAAAATCACATTTCTATTTTCAAAAATCTAGACTAAAGAAAACAACAGCCAAATAAATGGGTCCCAATCCTCCTGCCTTGTTTTTTGTTTGGTTTTTGTTTGGTTTTGTTTGGTTTTGTTTTTGTAACAGCTATATAGCCCTAGCTCTCCTTGAACTGGCTGCAGTCCTCCTGCCTCAGTCTCCTGAGTGCTAGGGGCATAACATGCGCAATTCAACAGCCTTTCTTGCTTTCTTATAAGGAGAAGCCATGAAAATAGTACAACTACAGGAAGCTTTCAACCATCATCATCATCACCATCATCATCACTACAACCACCATCATCATCACCATCACCATCACTACAATCATCATCATCACCATCACCATCACTACAATCATCATCATCATCACCATCATCATCATCACATGACCATCATCACCATCACATGACCATCATCACCATCATCACAATCACCATCTTCATCACCACCATCTGTGTATGTGAGATCAAGTGTGTGACAGGGTTTTACTACATAACCTTGGAAATTATTGACTCACTATACAGATTAGACTGAGATTGAATCTATAGAGATCCCCTTGTCTTTACTTCTTGAATGCCAGAATTTAAAGTGTGACCACCATGCCCTGCCTTCTCCTTTCCTTAAAAAGAAAAAGAAATTACAAAAGAAAGGTAAGTGGTGGTGGTCTGGTTTCTGGGAGACAGCAAAGGTGAAAAAGAGAGACCATGATGTGCAGGGGCATTTTAGAGAAAAAAATAAAATCTAAATATCCCAAGTACCTCTGGTTAGCAGAAGGTCAGATTTGAGAGAAATAACTTGAAAACTTTGCCCATGAAGACTGAGGTAAATTCCAATCTACACACTTGTAGGTTCCCAATATCCATCTCCTCCCATCTTCCTTGGCATGCAAGCTTCCAAAGGTAGACTCCTCCAGAACAGCACGGGGCACAGGTGACTCACTGCCACCCCTGCAATATCACAGTGCTCCGGCTTCGTGATATACCGCTTCCATCCTAGAAGGACAGCATTTGCTGACTCTGTTGGAGGCAATGTTCTCCCTCTCCTGCAGGAGGGAGAGGGCTGGAGTCACTGTCTGTCATCCTGCCACCAGGTGGAACCTGACACTGATGCCACCTTGGAGGATAGCATGTGGATCACAGCCCGAACCTAGGGCATCTCAGACCTTTTATTTCCATGAGTGAAAATAAGCCCCATTTTTTATTCGGCTTTGGGTTTTGTTTTGTTTGTTTTTGTGTTGTTTGTTTGTTAAAAACAATTTTTCTTTTTTCTTCCTTTACTTTTTAAAATTGTGTGTGTGTGTGTGCGTGTGTGTGTGTGTGTGTGTGTGTGTGTGTGTGTGTGCAGGTGTTCAAAGAAGCCCCTGGAGCTGTAGTTACAGGTGTTTGTTAGCCACCTGATGTGTGTGATGAAACTTGAACTCAGGTCCTCTAGAAGAGCAGTACATGTTCTTAACAGGCCCCAGAAACCTGGTTTGTTTGTTTGTTTGTTTTAAGCCTAAATACACATTCAGAACTGAAGAGATGGCTCATTGGTTAAGAGCACAGACTGCTCTTCCAGAGGACCCTGGCACTGACATGGCTGCTAACTCCAGTTCCAGAGGGTCCAAAATAATCTTCTGGCTTCTGTGGACTCAGAATATACATGGTACTTGCACAAATACACAGAACGGTAAAACACCATATACATAAAATTAAAATAGATAAAATTTCCAATCTAAAATTTAAGGTTAAAAAAGAAATTTTTAAATAAATAAATGCATACTTAAAACAGGAGATGGGAGGAGGGTAAGAAGTCTCTCTCATTAAAAGGTTTTTTTTCTTTAAAGTAAACATATATAAAAATAATATGGGGCTGACTGGATAGCTCAGTGAGTAAAGAAAGGCACTTGCCAGGGAAACATGGTGACCTGAATAAGAACCCTGGAACCCATGGAAAAGGGAGAAGGAGAGACTCGACTCCAGTGTTGTCCTCTGACCTCATGCAGGTGCTGGGGGATGTGCATCCATGCACG